CCTGCCCCCGCCCAGTTCTGTACACCCTCATGCCCCTTCCCCCAACCCCACTTCGCCCAGACAGAGGGTAACAGTTTGAGCTGCCCTGGTTGAGTTGATCCTAAAGTTAACATTCAGCAGCCCATTTCCAGACAGCAGCGCTAAATCTATTTGGATAAAACGCGTGTGACCCAGACAGTTGGCATTTGGCCCAAACGCGTTGCACCGGCAGCTCAAATAAAAACAAGAGTAAGAAACTCACTCTCTTGTTCCCTCTCAGTGCGCTTTCTCACTCTCTCGCTCTCTTTTCTTCTAGTACAACAAGGAAAGAAATTACTAAAGACAGGAATTATAGTACACATTATCAGAAGGCAGCTTTCCAATAACCCTCCAGCACTCACCGCCCCCCCCCTCCAAATCCCTAAACTTTGATCCCATGTACCATATAAACAGACATACCCCGATATTCAAGGCTCCGGAGGGATATGAGTCTAGCACGTCCCAAGTGGCCAAAAGTAAATCAAAAACACACGCTTCCATCTCTTTGATTAGCCTATTAAGAGCTTAACATATCCTAGAGCATCGGGGCTCCAGCTAGCACATTAATTCTGCCCTCTGAGCCCAGGCATAAACTATGCACTTGTCTGGCTACTTAAGACACTGACATGAAACCATAAAATGCAGGTTTTTCTTTAAGAAAACTGGAAATCAGTTTAAATACACATCATTATTACTTTCCTGATTACTATTTAGTGATGAGTTAAAAGACCACAATAATTATAATTAAGTCATATTTCACAAAACATATTCTATTCTTATAATAAACGTATATATTTTTGCATCATAAAATACTTGCAAGACCCAGAATTCTCCAACCCCCGAGTAGTCTGGAGTTAAAAAGATTTCTATCTGTAAAATGAGTTCAGTTAAGCTCACTCATTGCCACTAAAACACATACACACATACACACATACACACACACACACACACACACACACACACACAGAGCGAGAGAGAGAAAAAGATTTTCTACGCGTTATTCGGAAGACAAGCAAACCACACACTTTAATTTAAAAAAAAAGTTTCATTGAATATTGTGAAGTCTTCCTTACCGTTTTCATCTTCAAATTCTGATAAAAAGTAAGTTTCAAACAATAGAGATTGCACTGGACGACTCACGTACTCCCTTCTCCTCTCTTAACTTTTTTTTTCTGCCCCCCTTTGCAAAGCCACAGCAGTCAGTTAGTTATTCTGCAGCCAGAATAAAACCCTATAGTCTGGCTAACCCGGGTTTTAGAGAACGGACTTGGCGATTTGGCAGAAAAAGAGATGCCTTCAATACAACCAGGTTATCATCCTGAGATGCTGCCTTTGCAAACCCCCTTTTTCTCCCGCACGCGCCCCCCAACCCGACCAAAAAAAAAAAAGGGAGAGAGAGAGAGAGAGACAGAAAAAAAAAAGAAAGGAAAGGGAAAAAGAAAGGAAGGGGAAAAAAAAGACTTATTGGGGGTGGAAAGGGTGCCCTTTCTTCCTGGACAGCTTAGTGCCTTTGCTATGCAAATAACATGTGAAGAGCATCAAAAGGTATCAGGAGAAAAGAAGACAAGAGGAGCAAAGTTTTGTTGAAGTAGGTCTCACTACCGGCCCCCAGCCAACTTTGAATTGCAGCAGAATATTGGCAGCTTTTCCTCGGAGGCAGAGCACTGACGTCAGTGTGCAGATGTGCCGGCGTCGGGTGCGCATGTGTCCTGGGCCGTCACGTGGAGGGGGAGGGGAGGTAGAGGTACAATCGGGGTAACCAACTACCAGCCATTCAGAAGGGCTTAGACAATGTCAACTTTTCCACCCTGTGAATGAGAGAAATCCTGGCCTTTCTAACCTCAATCCCCTACCCCACTCCGCCTCTTTTCCTCCTCCTCCTCTAACCTCTTTTAGAAATTCTAGCCTGGTTTGTGATTAGTTGTTTCTTGGAAAAAGGAAGGGGGAGGGAGAGGATGAATGACTGTAGAGACGAACTCATGTCACTGTGCAGATCTCTGGTGTCCTCTTCCTTGTATGTTTAAATCCTCACAACAAAAATACTAAAAATTGCACATAAACAGTACCTTTGAAGACACTTACAGCGAGTTCACATCAGTGACAGATTTCAAGACTCCGTAACCACATGTGCACAAAATGCCTCTCTCAAAAAGACATCTCTACGAGTTATATTGCCACAGCAAGGGAGTATAGAAGAAAGTAAACTAAGACCAGCACATTTTCCATCCGATTACCGACTTCAGGTTATGTGGGGCTTTAAAAGGAAAGGGAAAAAAAAGTGGGGGAGGAGGGAGCGGGGGAAGAGAAAGAAGCTTGCATTATTTCCAGATGAGGGTGAGACTGGATGGTGTTTTAAAGTGCAACCGGGGAAAGCTACAAGTGGAGTGTATTTTTTTTTAATTCAGTACATTGAATGAAACCTCAATGACTGCCCAAAAGAAAATAAATCCAAAGTCAGACCCCCAGAAAAGAGGGGGGTGGAGGGAGAGAGAGGACAGGAACCTTGCTGTGATCTAAAGATAAACAAACAAAACCTCAGAACTGGCTCTTCAAGCTTCCCAGTCCCACCCTCCCGCCCTCCACCCGCTACACACCAGAAGCCAGTCCATACTTTAAGGATAAAACACCACTACAACGTAGCACTTTCACTTTCATTTGCTGGGAGAAAGCCACTGGCATAAAACTGTGGGGGAAATGCCCAAATATGTTTTCCATGTCCTAAGCAAGCAAACAAAGTCTGGCACACTAATCGGAAACAGGAGAGGGGGAAAAAAGTGAAAATAGCTCAGGACAAATGTTGTCTTTCAGCGGTGGAATCTGCTGCATCATTTATCTGTTTCTACCGTTGGGTGCAGGATAGGAAGAGGTTTAAGAGTTTCCAAGGTTGGAGGTGGGGGTGGAGGAATTGACGCCTTGAAATTCCAGTCGGTAGTTAACGCCAAGTCAATTTCCGATGGCCAGAACCAGAAAAGGGAATTGGACCGGAGGGAAGGGGGTGGGGAGGAGGACCTTTCTGAAAACAGGCGCTTAAGTTTCAAGCTTCTGCTAACATTATTGCTCATTTGATTTTTTTTTTCTTCCTACACCGGAGGTAGTAGGTGTAATTCTTCTGGTGAATACATGAATAGTTGGCTAAAAGAAGGCATGAATCAGACTGAGAACGTCCAAGAATTCTTTTTTGAGGGTTGAAAGGGGAAAGCATCTGTCCACAGTCAATAGTCCTCATCTTGACCTTAAATCAGTAGTATTTGGCTCAATGCCATTTAAAACGTAGAAATACGTTCTGTGGTTGGCATTCACAGTTTTAAATAAAGATGATTCATATAGAAATATAGATATTTGCATTAGCACACAAGAGGTGGCTGATCTCCTAGCAATAATTATAAACGTCAAAAATAAGAAGAGTAGCCACAGAGCTGTTTTTGCATCAAAACCATCCTTTAAATTGTTGTGGACTTGGTCCTTAATTTTTCAAAAACTGGTGGTGGATAAACACAGCCATCACAGAAAACTAAACTTAAGGTATGAATAGTAATCATTTTTATAAGTTATTTGAAAAATTTTTACTCACAACTAAGGCAAACTGCCCTAGGAAGTAGCAATATTGTAAAGGAAAGGAGCTTATCCAGTGAGAAGTGGACTTTGACTAATTACTTATTCAAAGAGTGCCATCCTGCGTCTAAACAGAGTAATGAAAATTTCCCAAAAGATTCCTTTTCTCCTCCAAATGACTGTGAATTTAAAAAACAGTATTAGTAAGGGTGAAAAATTATTAGCGAGAGAAATGGATCCATGTGTATGTGTGTATGCGTGTGTGTTTTTATTTTAATTGCATTACAGAGAATTCCAACACATACAAAAGTAGAAAACTCCAATGTATCCACCATCCAGTTTCAACAAACACGTTTGGTGGCACACACATTCAAGTAAAATAAAAGGACTAAAAAATAAATAACCATTACTACATCACTACTACTCTTAGAAAAATAATTCCTTAATTTCATCAGATTTTCTCAATTGCAAAAAAGGATTTTTTAAAAACTTCCTTTTATTGGAATCAGGATTCATATATTGCATTAGTTTGATCTCTTGTCTCTCTCTTTTTTTAAAAATATATTTTATTGACTCTCTACAGAGAGGAAGGGAGAGAGACAGAGAGCCAGAAACCTCGATGAGAGAGAAACATTGATCAGCTGCCTCCCGCACATCTCCTACCGGGGATGTGCCCGCAACCCAAGTACATGCCCTAGACCGGAATCGAACCTGGGACCTTTCAGTCCGCAGGCCGACGCTCTATCCACTGAGCCAAACCGGTCAGGGCCCATGTAACTCTTTTCATCTATTTCAATCTATCAGTTCTCCCTCATTTATTCTTTAACCTGAAATATAAATGCTAAGTTAATAACTTGTCATCTTAATACTACATATAGCACTTTCATGTGTATGGAAATGTTTTAGTGTAATATCCAGGCATTAGTTCTTAATTTAATCATATGAGACAAATTTAAATTTAACCCTGAATGAATTTCAGTTGCAGTAGAAATTCTTTAAAATTATTTTAACAACCAATCCTTTACTCTTCAAAAACTTTTTCCTATAGCTTTCCTTTTCTCTGTTAAATTAAGAAATGAAGACAGAGTAGAGTTGATCACAAATCCCCTATTTATACCTACAAAAAGCTATGTGAGTGGTCCTTAGAAGCCTAATAAATCTAAGTGAATAGAGCCCTTTCAGGAAATCAAAGATGGAATAAAAGGAAATTTGAGAGGAAGCAATTTGTATGTATGTATGCATGTATGTATGTACACATGTATGTATTAATGTATGTATGTATTTCAGAGACTGAAAAATAGAAGCAATGTCAGAAAAGTTTGAGAGCCAATGAATCGGGACTAAGAAACTTTTAAAGGTAAAAAAGTAGACTTCTGCCGAAACCGGTTTGGCTCAGTGGATAAAGCGTCGGCCTGCGGACTGAAGGGTCCCAGGCTCGATTCCGGTCAAGGGCATGTACCTGGGTTCCGGGCACATCCCCAGTACAGGAGGCAGCTGATCGATGTTTCTCTCTCATAGATGTTTCTAACTATCTCTCTCCCTTCCTCTCTGTAGAAAATCAATAAAATATATTTTTTTAAAAAGTAGACTTCTAACTTATAATTTTTAATACATAAGCATGCAAATTTAACTTAATTTTTTAAATAAAAACTAAGGCATTTCTTAAAATTAGACTATACTTGTATTTTAAGAAAAAGAGATGAAGAATTCTGATTTTATGTTTGCTTGGAATTATTAAATTGGAGCAGGTGACTATCTCTAAAGATGATAAATTTTTAATTCTATATCCCAGACATTAAAATCAGATTCAAGCCCTGACTGAGTAGCTCAGTTAGTTAGAACATCATCTCAATATGCCAAGGTTATGGTTTTGATCCCGTCAGGACACATACAAAATCAACCAATGAATGCATAAATTAAGTGGAACAACAGATCAATGTTTCTTCCTTTCTAAAATAAATTTTTAAAAATTAAAATAAATTTAAAAATAGATTCAACACATTAAAACCAAAGTTTATACACTTTCTACACATACATTTTATTCTGTCAGTGAGAATGGATTTGAATTTGATATAGTGAAAACAAATATTTTTTAATCTTTTCAAGGATTATTGTAGCATTTCTTAAGATGCAAAAGCTCAAAGCATAGCGAAAAAAATTGATAAATTTAACTTAAATTAAAAAGTTAAAAACCACTAAAAAGTAAAATATAAGCTAGAGATTAGGAGAATTTGCAACACGTAAGTGAAATATAACAAATATCTAGAATATTGGAAGAACTATCACAAATCTATAAGACTGTCAACATAAGAAACTAAGAAACATATCCACTTACCTGTAGAGTATTTTTATGAGCTTCGTTGAGCCAAACTGACGACAGTTGCCAGGGAGCAAAATCTCAATGAATGGAGAAAATGCTCCGGAGAATGGGAGTTTTGCAGCTTATTTTATACACTAGAATAAAAGGAGAAGACGTAAGAAGTGTTATATGAAATCCATTGGTGGTAGATTAGGGAGGCGGGAGAAAGCAAAGCGTGGAAATCTCTGGGATTGGACAGAAAGCGAAATGGAGAGACACGCACTTCTTTTACATTGGTGGATACAGTATTAGTTAACAATTGACCTTTACAGCCCATAGAAATGGTATGCGTGGCCTGAGATAGCAATGCAAGATTCTGTGGTCTTGTGCTCTAGCGCAGGTCTGGAAAAGAAGATTACTCTGACATTTCAAAAGTATGTTGTCTTAGACGCAAAAGGACAATTGACAGGCTCACTTAGGTAAAGATTGACCTTTGTCAAGGAAGCTACAGGCTTAGGACATGACTACCCACCGTATCTGGCCTTTAGCTAGGAATTTGCATGTTCAGACCATTTTATTTGGTTACTTTTGGTTTCTGAGTTTGTAAGTCCCGTTACACAGGCCTCCCCTGAGCTAGTCAGGTTTGGTAGATGGCCTCTATTTCATCCGCAAGAGAGAGAGGCCAAAAAAATTAAAAATAGGAAAATTGCATGAATAGAAAAGTCACAGGAGAAAAAAAGCTAAGGACCAATAAATGACTAAGGGAGTGTTCAATCTTGCTAGCAATCATTGAAATG